ATAATTTCATGACTGCTTCCTCCCTCTCCTCCTCTACCGCCTCCTCATCCTCATCTTCCACCTCCTCCTCCTTGTTTTTAGGGACAGTCTCAATGTAGTCCAAACTAACCTTAAATTTTTGCTTTTTTCCTCAACCTCTGAATGCTAACATTATAGATGTGAGTTACCATGCCCAGCTCTCCTTTAACCTATTAATATAGTTATGCTACATTAATTTATTACAATTAATTTACTAATACATAAATAGGACCTATCTGTTCTCACAAGTTAAACCAATTTTTAAATTTCTATCACATTTATTCATGGGTGTGATTGTGAATGTGTGTGTGTGAGAGAGAGAGGGGAGGGGAAAGAGAGAGAGAGAGAAAGAGAGAGAGAGAGAGACTTGCAGGAGTCAGTTCTTTCCTTCACTATGTGGATCCTGGAATCTCATTCAAGTAGCAAGTACATTTACCCACTGAGCCATCTCACTGACCCCAGATTTAAATTTTCTAGGTTAAGCTCCATTGGTCATTGTCCTGTTTATAAGTTGCTGGGTTTGATTTGTCCGTATTTTAAGGTTTGGGGACTAGTTCAGTTAGGAGTTTATGAATTGTGCATTGCTTGGTTTCATCTTTCACATTGTCTTTCTTTAGCTTTCATCAGGGTAAAATTGATTTCTTCCAAGAGTTTTCCCTCACCTGTTCTCTAAAGGTCTTTCTGTAGGATTGCTATTCTATCATTATTAAATGTCTGAGAGCACTGGCCAGTGAAGCTCTTTCTAAGTGTAGATTTGTGGGGAGATTTTTAAGTTGTTGATTGTTTTCTTTGCTTGGTGTAAATCAATTCCAACTTTTTCCCCTCTGTAGTACTTTTGAATAGTTGTACGAATTTCAACTAAGCTGGAAATTTGGTAGGCTGAAGTTGTATACAATGCTAGTTTGCTGTTCTTTTTTTTTTTTTTAATTCATTTGTCTGTATTATTTATTTATTTTTATTTTACATGTCGATCCCAGTTCCCTCTCTCTCCTTCCATCCATCCCTCTCTCCCTCCTTCTCTCTCTCCCTCCCTCTGTCCCCCATCACATGTACCCTGACCACCCTCCCCTCACATCCCCCCATCCCAATTCCATATGTAGGGCAATGCCATCCAGGTGGGGTCATGTAAATCTGTCATTTGAAGTAGGGACTAGGACTTCTCTCCTGCCTCTAGGTTAAGGGAGTATCCCTTCATGGGGGATGTGTCTACAAGGTCCTTTTGTGCACCAGGAATACATCCTAGTTCCAGTGTCTGAGGTCACTTAGACTGCTCAGTCCTTCTAGCTGAGACCCATATTCAGAGGGTCTGAGTCAGCCCCATGCTGAATTCCCAGCTATCAGTCTGGGGGCCCGTTAGCTCTTCCTTGTTAAGGTCAGCTGTCTCTATGTGTTTCTGCAACCTGGTCTTGTCCTCTCCCTCTGCATCTGGATTCTAGTTCGACTCAGTGTTTAGTTATGGGTGTTTGCTTCTGTTTCCAACAGGTACTAGATGAGGGCTCCATAATAATGGATAGTGAGACAGGGTCTTTTACTGAACCTGGTGCTCACCAATTGGCTAGACTGGATAGAAAATTCCAGGAACCTCCCTGTCTCCACTCATCCTATGCGCTGTTACCAATGCATGCAACCATACCCAGTTTTATTGCATGGGTGCTGAGGATTCAACCTCTGGTCCTCATACTTTTGTGACAGGAATTGTGACTAACTGTCCATTAAACTTAGTATACATTTGTATTTGATTTGCTCTGTCTTCTTATGATAGCATCTTTGGAATTAATCTCGATACTTAATACTGTATAAAGTAAGCATTTAAAGCAATTATAAATACTGTGTTTTCAGCTTCCTCAAATTTTGGTATGTTTTGATTTCATTCAACTTACTTCAACACAGTATACTTGATTCCTTTTGATTTCATGAGCTGGGTAGGAGTGTGGTGGTTATATCTGTGGATATTTCCCAAATTCATTTTTGCTCTCTCTTTATTAGTATTTTTGATTGTTTAAGATGCACCACAAATTATCTGCTCATTACTTCTACTTATATTATTTCTAATAACTCTTTAATTATATTGTGGCCAGAGGGTATATCCTGCATGATTTTATTCCTTTCAAATTTATTGTATTGAAACTTTGCATTATAGACAAATATTTCATGTATAGTCAAAAGAATTATCTCTCTGGATATAAATTGTTTATCAATTATATTAGCTTAATTAATAAGTATTGTCTTGATCTTCTGTACTCTCAATAATTTTCTCTTGTTTTATGAATAATTCAGAGAAGGATTTTTAGGTAGGTAAAGTTATTTATTAGTTTGGTCTTTTTGAGATAGATTTTCACTTGGTAGCTCAGGATAGTTTGGAAATACCTTGGTTGAACTCCTGCCTCATTTTCTCAAATGCTGAGATTGTAGGTAGGGGACATCACCCCTGGCTGAATTTTTTGTTTTCTCATCAAGCACTTTTCTTGTTGGATTTAGGGGTGCGTGTGTGTGTGTGTGTGTGTGTGTGTGTGTGTGTGTGTGTGTGTGTGTGTTAACCTAATATATCCTCATAAAATCTACTTCTTTTTGGACATTTTTTCCTAGCCAAAAAAAATCTGTTTGTCTTACATTAATATAGCCATTCTAATTATCATATCATTCATGTTTATGTGTCATAGCTTTTTCATGACTTATGTCCTTGAAATTGTAAGATCCTCTCTTGGCAAATTTGTTCATCTTGCTTTTTAATCCACCTCTGACCGTGATTAGGGGCTTTTCCCATTCATATGTAATGACACAGTTGGCTTTAGGTCTGCCCTTTTCATGGCTGTATGTTATTTAGTCTTCTTTCATTTCTTTATTAGTTTCCTTTTATGCTTATCAAATCTTGATTTTTTTTTCCTTTGTTAGCTTTTAGCTATAGTTCATTAATTTTCTTCCTACATCATTTGCAATAGAGATTACAGTAAGAATCTTTTTGTGTATAGTGATTTACTTCGGGTGGGTACTTGTTTTAATCGCAGCGAAACAGCAATGTTCCTTCTCCTATATACCACCATTTCCCCCTGACTGTCAATAATTGTGAGGAGTCTGAGAGTGTATCCAGTTTGGATGACTGCAGGTAAGCGTGAAGAAATTGGAGTGATGGAAGGTATGAGGTTCCTGGTGAGAAACAAGAATGAACTTCCCAGAAATAGCATTACCCAGAGCATCTCCATGGACACTTTTTCCTCAAGCCCCAAACCACACAGGACAGCATTAAAAGGCTAATGCATTTCTCTAAAACAATACTCATAGTCTGCTGCCAGGATGGTGAAAGCACACCTGTTCAGAAGAGTAGAAGTTTCATGGTCCCGTGAGTTTGAAAATTATACAGCTGGGTTCATGTATATCTGCAATATTGTTGGCATATTAATAGCTCTAGGAAGCTTACACAAAAGAAATTGATTCTTTAAAGCAAGAATTGTCAAAATTATTTGACCACTGAAAACTCAGTTTTAAATTTTTGTTTTTAATAACCTATGCAGTAGCATTTGGTATTAGTTACTTGGGCAAAATCTAACCTGGCAAATAATGATCTATAAGACAACAGAAATAGAATAGAGGCCACCCATGTTTTGGGATTTGTTTTTATTTTTTAAATTATGTGTAGGTGTGTCTGCTTGTGGGTATGTACATGCAAGCACAGATGCTCATGAAGTCAGAGGTGTGGGATCTCACTGTAGCTGGAACTGACTGACACGGGAGCTGAGAATTGAATTTGAGTCCTCTGGAAGAGCAGCAAGTGCTCTTAACCACCGAGCTGTTGCTCCAGCCCCAAGGCTTCCTGTTTTAAAATTAGCATTAAGAAACAGTGTTTTGGGAGCCAGAGATTGGCCCACTCAGAAAAGGGCTTGCCAGGCAAGCACAGAAACCTGTGTTTGATTCCCAGTACCTGTGAAATAATCCAGTGGCAATGAGTGCCTGTAGTCCTGTGAAATAATCCATTAGTAATGTGTGCCTGTGGTCCTGTGAAATAACCCAGTAGTGATGTGTGCCTGTAGTCCTGTGAAATAACCTAGTAGTAATGTGTGCCTGTAGTCCTGTGAAATAATCCAGTAGTGATGTGTGCCTGTGGTCCTGTGAAATAACCCAGTAGTAATGTGTGCCTGTGGTCTTGTGAAATAATCCAGTAGTGATGTGTGCCTGTAGTCCTGTGAAATAATCCAGTAGTGATGTGTGCCTGTAGACCTGTGAAATAATCCAGTAGTGATGTGTGCCTGTGGTCCTGTGAAATAATCCAGTAGTGATGTGTGCCTGTAGTCCTGTGAAATAATCCAGTAGTGATGTGTGCCTGTAGACCTGTGAAATAATCCATTAGTAATGTGTGCCTGTGGTCCTGTGAAATAATCCAGTAGTGATGTGTGCCTGTAGTCCTGTGAAATAATCCAGTAGTGATGTGTGCCTGTGGTCCTGTGAAATAATCCAGTAGTAATGTGTGCCTGTAGTCCTGTGAAATAACCCAGTAGTAATGTGTGTCTGTAGTCCTGTGAAATAATCCAGTAGTGATGTGTGCCTGTGGTCCTGTGAAATAACCCAGTAGTAATGTGTGCCTGTGGTCCTGTGAAATAACCCAGTAGTAATGTGTGTCTGTAGAGGGAGAAACAACAGGGTCTCTGGAGTGCACTGGCCAGCGAGCCTTGTCAGATTAATGAGCTCCAGGTTCAGTTTCAAGAAATAAAGGTGAAAGTAATACAACTATTTTTGTCCTCTACACACATATGTATACATAAACATATACATACCCATGTGCCACACATATGCACACACACACACACACAGAGAGAGAGAGAGAGAGAGAGAGAGAGAGAGAGAGCGAGAGAACATAATCTGTGGAATTGAAGTAAAGCTAATGGCAACAATTTCCTCTATACTTATTTAATGCTCTTCTGATTTTTTTCAATGATGAAAGTCAAGTGTACTGTGATATATTTATTGGTAACTCCTATTTCTGTTTGTAGGGGATGTAATCAACCTTGGCGACCGACAGCTGACTGTTATGCACATGCCAGGTCACTCGAGAGGCAGTATTTGCTTACATGACAAAGACCGGAAGGTTCTGTTCAGTGGTGATGTGGTCTATGACGGATCGTTGATTGACTGGCTCCCGTACAGCAGGATAAGTGATTATGTCGGAACTTGTGAACGTCTCATAGAGTTAGTGGACACAGGTCTCGTGGAGAAAGTGCTTCCTGGGCACTTCAATACCTTTGGTGCTGAAAGGCTTTTTCGTTTAGCATCTAACTATATTTCAAAAGCTGGAATATGCCACAAAGTTTCTACTTTTGCTATGAGGTCTCTTGCGAGTTTAGCCCTCCGTGTAACAAATTCTAGAACCTCACTCTAATATTTGTACCGATCATTTGCTGGCATTAACTGTGTAAATTAACCCAGTTCCCTTGTGTTGCTTAAAATGGTAACTAGTGAGCATTTCAAAAAATGCTTTTATATAATCATATTGTATGATAGAGAAAAAGAGGATCAAGAATGAGGAAGCAATTAATAATAATAATAAAATAATAATAATTGTATCCTTTACTTTTTCCCAAGGAAGAAACCACTTAAAATGAGCTTGTAGTTGGCCAGTGCTGTCATGTGAGTGTTCTCTCTGGAAATGCTGTGGGGTAATGTGGGAGCAAAGATGCACACACCGCAGCCGCAGCACAAAGACCTGCCCTTGCTCCTCCTTACTGTGCTTCCCAGGATGCTCAGGGGGACTCAAATGAAGTTTTATGCTTGCACTTCACACCTGATTTCATTTCCATGTTTTATTTAAAGATAAAATTTCTTGGGTTCAAAAATAAAGTAGACCTCAATATAAATTAGCATTTAGAATGACAGCTAACACATCCCATATTTGTGCTCCTGGATTTTATGCCTCCTTTATTTATTTTTCTTATTATTTGTATAAGACACAACATGCTATATAGTTTAACTTATAAATAGTGCAATGGATTTTTGTCTTATTGCAAAGCTTTAAATATAAAATGCAGAATGCTTCAGTAAAACACTGCTGTTTGTTGTTTGTTACTGTGTAAGTAATATTTTCGGTCATGAAAGTGAAATTCAAACGTGTGTAACCTAACTTCAGATTGTCAGATTTTTTTAAAAGGACACTGTCAGGCAAATTTGAAGATATACACATTAAGAATAATTTTTTATTATATCCTATTTTAGTATTAATAGATGTTATTGATTAAATTGCAACTTCAGTATTGGGTCATGTTTTACAGTACCAAAACAATTCCTGATACCTATGACATCTTAATGTAAACCATTCTTTTGATTGATATAACACGTATACATACCACAGAAGGATTTTTAAATTAATTGCAATGTATGTGTTATGTATCGACTACAGCAAATGGCCTTCTTATCCTGATTCACAACACCTGTCCCTGCTCAGTATTATTTGTCATGAACAAAAACAAGTCTATGTTCATAAGTCATAGAAAATGTGAAAACATTATTTAGTGATACTAGGTAAAGTGTTTGGGTTTGGTGCTTTTAATAATAATTTATTTAAAAGTCTTTTGGAGTATTTCATAAGAGTTTTTAAAACAGTTTACCACTATCTTTTTATTATTGACATGTTGTTATTGATATTTTAGATCAAACAGGTCGACTTTTGGAAATCAGATTGTTTAATATTAGGAAGTAATAGCAGTTCTTGTTTCTGACAAGTTATGTAACTTTTTTACCCTGAATACACCCAGGTTCTTTAAATTTTTTTTATTCTTTCAGTAGGTACATGTGCACGAGTGTGACTGCATACACACACAGACATGTAGGGATATACACAGTCACACACATACATACATAGCACTGTGCTAAACAATGTAGGGGGTTTGAAAGTGAGAAAATATATTATAGCTGAGTGTTAAAAGCCACAAAACCCCAAAAGTGATATAGGTAAGTTGAAGTTAATATAAATGATGCTTAAATATAGAGGATATAAGCAAGGGGTGTGAAGTAGGATAAGGGGAAATGCCCTGGAAAAGGGGATTTTTGAGTCAGACTTGGAGGGAGGCTGGGAAAGATGTGAGCCTCCGGCTTCAAGAATTGCTGGATGGACTAGCCTGTTCCTTGTGACATTTAACTTTCTGAAATCTCATTCCTTCTACGTACCATGTATTTAGCATGTAAAAGATAGATCTGTGATAGTATATGTGATTGTATATGTATATATTCTTAAAGGCAGATGAACTGAGCGGTCACATACCACCATGTAAACCTTTGCTGAGAATCAAAAAGGAGGCCATGACTGGATCAGACATGCAGTATTACGAGAACGCTGTCACGATCCTTCAAGACAGTGGGTCTGTTACAGTTGATGACACAGTACTGAGAAAGGAGATTGGTTCAGGGCAACTACAATCACTTAGTAAGCCTTAAATATAGCCATTATTTTTGTATCAGCAGCACAAAATAAAGCCAAAAGTCCTTAATCATTGACTGTTTTTATCATATTTTAGTATTTATTTCAAATCAAGATACAATAGGCATTAAGTTTTATTAGGAAAATCTTATTCCTGATGAGATATTTCCCTATTTATTAAAAGTGCAATTTTCAGTATATGGTGATATTTTTGTTGATTTCTCCAATCTTTCAGTTTTTTCAATTATAGTACAATATAAGATTGTGATATTTTAGTATTGCTACCATATAAAAAATGTGGAAGTAAATTCATACTCATTTAATACTCATGATACATTTTAAATTTGCATCCTAGTTCCAACACCAAGAGGTAGTTGACCAGTGTCATACTCAACATAGACTAGGAACAAAGCTGATAACTGAACACAGGTTTGTCTGCTACCAAACTGTGCCCTCTCTTAAACATGCACAATCTATAGAATTGACCACATATATTTTTTACTTTCCAACATGTCACATATGTGAAGAATAAATCAAATAATATCAAATCCTAATAGCATCTTTAGAATATTAAAATATATTTTCACCCTGACAGTGACCCTTGATTTATGATTTTTGGAAATATGCTATTGTGAATGTAACTCAAAGTTGTCAAAATATTAGACATTTCAAAAAAAGTTTTCTTATTTATATTGCTAATAATGAACCCGTGGACTTTCACTTTCTTTACTTAATGTCTCTTTATAAGTGAAAAGCTTTAAAAAAAAAACTGGAACCTTGTTGCTATGCTGATATAGTTGAATAAATGGTTATGTGTATTTGTTCTTATATGGATAGTAGTAATATGAATGTGACATGCACAAATTGTCCTATAATTTTCCAATAAATGTATGTAAGCATTTGTGTGGGTAACTATTAAAGTGGCCATTTAGTTCAGTGTACGAGTGGTGATTGTATATATATATATATATAAAACATTAACAAATTTTTAATAGCTTAGAAAAATATGCTATGTGAGATTTTGTTCTACTAAGTGAAAGTTTCAGAAGTTCCTATCAAATAAGCTATAAAGTCTGGGGGAAACACCTGCTTAGTACTTCATCAATGAGAATTCCAATCAGTAGATTCAGTACATTACAGTTTCTCCCGTGGGAGACAAAGGTTCATGCTATCATAAAAACGAATCCCGAGTTGATTGAAAATGTAGACATGTAAACCAAAGCCACACATGTATGCAGTAGAAGAGGGAAGGGCTGCATTGCATTAAAAACAAGCAATCACAACAAAATATGTCATGGAGGGGGATGGAAGGAGAAGATGAGGAGGAGGAAGAAATAATTTACAAGCTCTATACTTCTTTAACAGCACAAAAGAGTAAAAACCCCAAAACATATAAAGAGTGCTTACAATTCAAAAAGAAAAAGTTAAGGTGCCATAGGGAAGAAGAACTTTTCCTCTGATCTATTTTTAGGTTCTGTAGCTGAGTTGATAAATAAAACTGTAGACCATACAGTTTTGTTTCATGTGAATAGTTTTACATATATATAGAGTCCTTCATGTATAAGAAACAGAGGGGTGGAGAGATGGCTCAGTGATTTCAGAGCTCTTCCAGAGGACCTGTGTTCATTTCCCAGCACCCATGCTGGGCAGCTCATACATAACCAGACATGGCTCGAGTTTTGGTGAGGGCTCTCGTGCCCTCTTTGGGGTTTTGAAGGCATCAGAAGCTATCACACACAATCTCATACATTTTTACAGAATTAAAAATAATAATTTAAAATTTTTTTCTTATTTATATGTTTGTATATACATGCATTTGAGTATTTATGGAGGCCAGAAGGTCATCAGACCCCTGGAACTGGAGTTACAGTGCCCTGTGTGGGTGCTGAGAACTGAACACAGGTTCTTTAAAAAAGCAGCAAATAACTCTAACCACTCACCTTTTTTTACAGTCTCCCAAAATAAAATAGGTCTTAAAATATTGAGAAAAGAAATGGAATGCCACAGAAAAAGCTAAGCTTCAAGCTTACAAACTGAACCAACAATGATGAATCATGAAAATATAGTAAAGACAAAGAGAAAGAGAATTAGGTCAGAGAGGTCAAGTTGTAGGGAACTGATTTGGTGGATCTTTACTCATTTTATATGTATTAGGTGATGCATCTTCAAATGGACTGTTTTCTTCATATTTTGTCATCTTTGTTGCATAAATTGCTCTGGTTAAATCTACTAGACTTATCCCTCCAATTTTGGGGGACAAGTTTTGAATTTTGGTGTAATCTAAACATTTTATTTATTTATGTTTGAAATCTCCAATAAAACCCATTAGCTACAAATTCCACAGTCAAGCTGCCATGACATTTGGTGAGGGCTCACTTCACAGTTCCTAGAGTGCTGCCTTCTCACTGTGGCTTCAAGAACCAGAGGCATAAGAAGGCTCTGTGTCCCTTTAATGAAGGAATCATTCACAGAGTCAGGCCTTCATAGTCTACAGAAGGCTACATTTCTAAGTATCACCATATGTGAGATATATTTCAACATGAATTTAGAAACACACAAGTATTTCATCTACAGGACAACTCTCTTGACACAGTCGAACTCACAACATATTCGGACTCTCCTTTAAAAAAGCTAACATGTTCCTGGTGTGACTTAATCTTCTGACTTCCTATTCATAACTTCAGAGTGTATTTCACCTTGGGTTCTATCATATCACCTACTGAAGTGCTCTCTCTCTCTCTCTCTCTCTCTCTCTCTCCCTCTCCCCCTCCCTCCCTCTCTCTCTCTCTCTCTCTCTCTCTCTCAGCATGATTGCTAGAATAGTTTCTTTAAAACAGTAATTGTGGTCTTTTGGATGACAGTGTCCCCCTCAAAAGCTCATATGTTTGCATGCTTAGTCCCCAGTTGGTGGGACTGTTTGGGAAAGATTAGGAGGTATGGTCATGCTGAAGGAGGTGTGTCACTGAAGGAAGGCTTTGGGATTTCAGAAGCCCATTCCATCCCCAATTAGTTTCCTCTGCCTTCTGTCTGTGGATCAAGATGTAAGCTTTCAGCTACTGCCTCAGCATTATGCCTGCCTGCTTGCTTGCTGCCATGCTCCCGACCATAAAGCCCGTGGATTCTAACCCTTTGGACTCATGAGCCCAAAATTGAAATGCTTTCTTATAAGTTGCCTTGGCCATGGTGCTTTAGAAAAGTATCCAGGCAGAAGTTAGTACCAGGAAGTTGGTTGTTGCTATCATAGGCCTGACCATATTTTTGTTTGTTCGTTGGTTTGTTTTGTTTTGTTTCTAGAGGAATGTGGAAGCCATTGGAACCTTGTACTAAGAAACTAGTAACACTGTAAATGAACACTTCCAAGTAGGAAGATGATAGTGCTGAGAGCAATGTGAACTATGGAGGCCCACTTCAAGAAATTTCCCTTATTAACAACTGGGCTAGACACTATTATTGTGGTATTGTGGAAAAGAATATGCCTGATTTCTGCCATTGTCTGAAGAATCTGCCTGTGGCTAAATTGAAAAGTTTTGAACAAAGAGCTTAATATTGACTCTGTTGCATGGCTATTAGTAATCCATGCCATTCTACAAGGCAAAAAGAAATACAAAATACAGAGTTTGTACAGAAAAAGATTACCATAGAATCTAATGTCGGAGCCACAGTATGTGTTGAAGGCTATAAGGAGAGGCCAGTTGCAAATGGAATAAAGGGAGTGGTGCACTCAGGCAAAACCCCCACCCAGCTAACCCTGCAGAATGTGAAGGTGTTTGTAAACAGCAATGGGTCCAAGTTTATGTGACTATAATTAAAGGAGGGGGACAGACTCCATCCCAACTGGTATCACTGACCAAATTGTTCTGACTTTAGAGTTATAAAGGGGTTGTGGAATCTTTCTCTGCAGTTAAGGAGAACCACTGAAGCCAGACGAGTTGGAAAGGAGGCTCCAAGAGGCCATATTATGAAGACTCTGAAAGCCAGAAAGACCTCAGCAGATGTCATACAGGCTCTGAGAAGCCACAAATGCCAACCCAGACTCCCATCATAATCATAATCAATGAAGAAAAAAAAAAACCATTTGACTCTAACCAAATTTAAGCAGTTTCTGTTTCTGTATGCCAATCAGTTCTATAGGTGTCATTAGAAGGAAAACTTTGGTCTGAGGAGTTAACCACACCCAAAAGGATGTAAGGAATAGTTCATGAATAGTAGTAAATCAAAAGGGATGGGGAAATTCCCAGAGCACAACCACAAAATAACAGGAATCAATAAAAACTGCCCACTGATAATTATGTTGTCTTAATCCCACAATAAAAAGACAGACTAACAGATTGGATTGGAAAACAGGGGCTAATTTTATGCTGCATCTAAGAAACAAACCTCATTATCAAGGATAGCCATCACTTTAGGGTGAGAGGGGTTTCCAAGCAAATGGGCCCAAGAAATGAGTAGGTATAGCTATTTTTTAATTGAAAATAGATTCTCCTCTTATACAATATATCCCAACTACAGTTTCTTCTCACTCCTTTCCTCCCAGCTCCCAATCTCCCTTCTCCCCCAAGATCTACTCCCCATTGTTTCCTCTTCAGAAAAGAGCAGGCCTCAAAGAGATACAGCCATACACGACAAACAAGTTACAACAAGACAAGGCAAAAGCCCTCATATTGAGGCTGGATAAGGCAAACCAATAAGAGGAAAAGAGTCCCAAGAGCAGGTAAAAGAGTCAGCGATACACCTGCTCCCACTGCTAGGATTCCCATAGGAATGCCAAGCTAATGGTTATAGCATAACACAGAGGGCTTGGTGCAGGCCAGTTGAGGCCCTGTGTTTGCCACTTCAGTCTCTGTGAACTCAAGTTAGCTCTGTGTATTTGATCAGTGGGCCATGTTCTCCACCCCCTCCTCTGAGGAGAGGGGCCTGATAGAAACCTCCAATTGAAACACTCTCTGCATATCTGGCTGTGGGTTTTCTACACAGGCTCCTATCAGCTGCCAGAGAAAGCCTGTCTCATGATGACTAGACACAGCACTAATCTGGGTGTTTAGCAGAATATCATTAGGGACCATCCCACCAATTAATTTTATTCTCTCTCTCTCTCTCTCTCTCTCTCTCTCTCTCTCTCTCTCTCTCTCTCTCTCTCTCTTTCCAGCTGTGTTTGCTTCTATCCTAGGGTTATCCAGTCTCCAATTTCTGGCCATCAGTCAGTATAGGACTTAGATTCCCTCTCATGGCTTGGGCCTCAAGTTAAACCAAACATTGGTTGATCATTTGCACAAATTCTGCCCTGCCGTTGTCCCAGCACATCATGCAGGCAGGACAGATTGTAAGTGGAGGGTTTTAGAGCTGGGTTGATGGCCAGGCCTCTCTGTAGCTGAGTACCTTCTCATGCCAAAGAGACTAGGATGGGTGAAGGCTCCAAGCTCCACCAGCTTGACCTCTTTTCTTTCAATGAGCCAAGAGGAAGCTGTCCTTTGCAATAGGGCCAACTATCAGTTTTCAAAGGGTGACTTTCTGTCCTAGCATTAGTCTGGGTTGTTCAAGGGACCCCACAGGACCTCCTTGGCAAACAACACAACTGAATGTAACCCAGTCCTTCAGTTGGAAGCTTTGGCTGGCTACAGAAGGTGGCCAGCTCAGAGTCTGTCCTTTATTACTAGGAGTCTTTATTGGGGTTACCCTCACAGAATACAGAGAGTTCCCAGAGCCTTATGTTTCCACCCAACCCCCCAAATGCCCCCAATTCAGTTGTCTGTCCCCAAAACTCTCTCCCTCCACCCCACCTCATCCCTCTTGCTCCCATTACCACCCAGGGCATCTATTCTATTTCCCCTTCCCAGAGACATCTGTGCCTCCCTCCCACAGCTCTCTTCTCTACCTAACCTCTCTGGACCTGTGGATTGTAGCATGATTACTATTAGGTATCAGCTAATATTCACTTA